GCAAACGCGATCGCATTCCTTATGAATAGTTATCAATTTTAATCATATTATGCAATGTGAAGTTATTAACATCAGATTTTTCCATCTTTAATAATTATGAATGTTGTATATCGAATTAAGGAATAAATCAAATCAAATCAAATAGATATCGCGATGGGTTTAATTAATTGTAGTTAACCTGCGTTTTAATATTTTCCAACGTAGCGTAATTCCGGCGTTCTAACTTATTTATTTAATTATTTAATACGTCTAATTATTGAATACATCAATAATTAATCTATTAAATCAATAATAATCTATTAAAATATTCTTCCGTTAAAAATTCTACCCTTATTAACGAGTTGTCGAGTGAATTGTGTTCGCACGCGCTTTTCATATTATTTTTTTGTAACAATGTGACGAAAAATAATTTGCGGGATTGTCGTATACAAGTATTAGTGCACGTGCGATTATAATTAATGTTTTTGTGAATATATAGTGTGAATGCCACGAAGAAATCTGAGAGGAGGAGGAGGCCCGGGGGGCATCCGGTGACGGCGGAGCAATGTTGAGGTAAATTTATGACTTTAAACTTGAAATAATCGTTCATAATTATACGTATTTTATGTGCGCAACAATTATTTCTTGAAATATTAATTGCTTTAAGCTATAATTTGAATATATTTTTATTTTGCAGATCAACATAGTTCGCGATGCAGTTTACAACTGCTGCGCATCATATCAGTGAGTGATAACTACATTTTATTGATTTGAAATAATGGATCTATGAAAATATTATATATATCGACACATTCGTATCGGATTTAAGATTATAAATAAGGTAGTTGGCTCAGAAATCGTCAGGGTAATCGCTAAGTAATCGCCAAGTTCACGTATTTTAATGCTTTCTGTCGATCATACGGCTTGCTGATAATTTTATTGGTTCCAAGGAGGTATTTACAATGAAGAGAATTGATTACAAGAATTTTTTCTTAGAATTTACTCTGAAAATATGATAGTCGTACAATATTTCGAAGAATTTTAATGTAAATCTCTCTCATTTATTAATAAAATACAACAATACAACAATACTACAATAAAGTAAGTTTGATTAATTTTACTAAAGTGGTAAAAATCTTCAAAATATTGTTTTGTATCACAACTATTATATTTTCAGGGTAAATTTTAAAAGAAAATTCTCTCCGTATAAATGGGCCGAAAAAAATTCTTGTAAAGCGAATAATAATATATCCAAAATTCGAATAAAAAAATTAGATTCATGATTGTTATTATCTACGATCCAGTAATCGTCATAGCCATAGGTGAGTTAATAAATAAATACGCAAGCAAATAAAAGATGTCGATCACTGAAATATTTCTATATCGATAGATCTAGAACAGAGATTAGCACTATTCCAATAAAAACTAATTTTACAATTCTTTTCTGTTGAAACAGCTATTAATATTTATTGAAAATTTCTAATAATGATAGCTCTGAAAAAAAAAATATATAAATAATTATAAAAATATATATTATTAATAGATTAAATATTATAGCTTTAGTTGAGATAAATTCATATAATCAATCAATTCGATTTGTGAGACATACCTATGACAATTATTAGGTAAACCGTTATGGTGGCGATAACTCGTACATTTGCGCCTTCTAATTTTTACGAAGGATTTTCTCATCAACGGTAATAGTGATAAAAATTTTAGAAGTTTTTATTCGTCATAAAAAATTGATTTAAAATAATCTAAAATAATATTCACTTTTCAATTTAAAAAATATAAATTTGCAAAGTCAAGCGTTTTGATTAACATAACGATTACTGGGCCAACTACGTTAAATATAATATCTCTTAGATTCATTGTTTTAAAATGGACAAACTAAGGTGGATTAATGTAATTTCTTGGACATTATGCAATTATTTATTGATCAAAAAATATATGAAGCTCGTTATATCGATTATTTATTAATATTTAATATCTCATTAGTGAAATATATACTATTTGTCTAAAATTTTTCTAGTAGGAAAATTCATAAGAAGATATAAATAGGATTATAACATAGAAATATTCGTGAACAATGACATTGACATTTACTATGTAAGAATATAAATAAAATCTACAGTAAAGATATTATTTCTTGTATTTTTGTACAAGTTCATAACAAGAAAACAACTAATGAAAATATTATAATATTATTATTTAATGTAATATTATAAATTTAAATTTATAAAGCTATAAAAAATATTTC